GTGTGTGTGTGTGTGTGTGTGTGTGTGTGTGTGTGTGTGTGTGTGTGTGTGCGCGCGCGCGTACTTGTTTTTACTACAAAGTGAGGACCATTTGTACCATAGTTGCTTTCAAAATGAGGTCTTTGGAACTCTTCAGTGTCCTCAATTTGTTTGCAGCTCTTCTGTGCTTTACTAATTAGGTTTAGAGGTATGRTGTGAATTAAGTTCTCATTCAGGTTAGTGTTAACTATAGACCAGTAATGGTTAATTTTAGGGAAAGTGTCTGGGTTGGGCAAAAATACAGTTACAAAACTGAATGGAAGTCAACACAACGTCCTCAGTTTGATGCAAATACAAGGATGTGCGTGTGTGTGTGTGTGTATGTATACATGCTACCTGGTGGGGATGTTTTTGGCGATGACCCACTGGTCTTTATAAGGACAAAAGCCTGGTCCCCATCAGGAGAAATACCGTTTGTGAGTCAGGGGTTGCATTTATGACTAAAGTGTGAACTGAGTTTAGGCTGGGTTTAAGGTTAGGTTTAAAGTTGTTGGATTTGGGTCAGGGGTCAGGGTTGGACTATAGAAATGACCAGTACATGCATGGAAGTCAACATGAAGTCCCCTTGAAGACTAGAAGAACAAACGTGTGTGWGAGCACATTTTTGCTACATTGTGGGAACCATTTTCTAGAAAAAGGCAGCCTCGTGGGGGACGAATGTGCGTCCCCACGGGTACGGATGCTAATTTCAGGTTAGGGGTTCAGTATAGGACTACGGTGTGAATTGAGTTTAGGTTAGATTTAGGGTCAGGTGTGACCTGCAAAATTAACCCGTGAGGTTAAATTTAGGGTAGATGGTCAGGGTTAGGCTAGAAAATTACCAGAAAATAAATGGAAGTCAATCCACGGTCCCCACGGGGATATAAAAACAAACCTGTGTGTGTGTGCACACGGCAATCCCTAAGGTGGATTGATGGAGCTGAGCTCAGTGCTCTGTGTAAGACTAGATAGGATTGGCATCACTTAGCATGCAGAGAAAGGACCTAACCTGTCTCTGTTTCGCAAAGCTAGAAAACCTCTCGTCAAAAATCTCATTATAAACTGGGGGCTTTAGCATCTCATCTAATTGGGAACAGGTGCTTCTATCTGTTGCATCAAGTCTTAATGAGCTGAAAATATAAGGGCCAAAAGAAAAACCGGCATGGACCCATAAAATAGTTCTGCTGCTTTGTTTTTATTGTAATGTATGAATATATGTTTGTGTTTTTTAGTTTTTGTGCATAAAGATTTTACCCAAGCGACGCATCAAATATGGCTGCATTATGAATGAGAACTGGCTGTTTTTAGTAAGCTTTATTCAGAAATCCAACCTTCTTTGTCTCGGTCTGCTCTGTTCTCTCTCTGTTGTCTTTCTTTTCTTATTTTTTTATGTCCCCGGTGGTTTTCACTGGCATGTGTTTTAGAGTGTGGTTGTGCAAGCTGTACCTTGATAGGGGCCAAGCATTAGTTCTGGCAGGGTGGTTCTCACATAAGACCTTTACTGTTGCACACACACTTACTCTTACATAGCCAGGGCTTCACAGCTTGTTATTCTTGATGCAGCTGGAAGCCCGAGCGCTGTTCTCTATTAGGTTGGCTGGCTGGCTGAACTTGGGCCCYGAACTGGTTTGCTTTCAGTTGAAGGCTCAGCGGTCAGAAACTGCAGCATTATCAGTGTCATTCTGTCTGTTCTGCTCTGCTGCGCACAAGTCTGTCCATATGAGGCTTATGTAAAGTCTGACTTGTGTCAGATGCAGTCATCCTCAAGCCTTTGTAGTCGTGTAATGTGTGTTGGCTAACGCGTAAAATCGAATAAACTCTGTCATTTTAGCTTCTTTGTTCCCTTTTCATTGCGCTTGTGTGGGGCCTAGGAATTAACAAGTTTGGATTTATTTTTCTGTTGGAAGGAAGACAAAGCACAAATGAAAGTTATAGATGATGCGGTTTAAAATCAGAAACATTTGTTTCTGTTAACCAAACTACCATTAGAGCAGTGGTTCTCAAACTGGGGGGCCCATGGAGCCCATAACCATGTCTGCTCAGAGGCTGCGACAATATCAATTTATAGTTTGTGTGTAAAAATCACCAAAACAAGTCCATCTGAATAATTAAAACTCTGTTTAACTCTGTTCTTCTTTGTTTCTTTTTCCAAATAAAAGTTTGTAACGATTCATTTCATTCTTTTATTATTAGCAAGGGATTGGGGGATGGGGCTCAGCTTGGCATGGAAGTAAAGCACCCAGTATAGTTGATTGGCAGCCAGCTGGCCGACGGGTGGTTGTTTCACATTCGTTTTCATACACACCTTTCATTGTCCCTTGAGACGCATCGTGCTGAACCCCTCCTGCTGTGGTACTTATTAGGGGTCGACCGATACATCGGCCGGGCCGGCTGATATTTTTGGCCGATATTTGTGTTTTTTCCTTGTATCAGTATCGGCCGATCCATTCTTTGGGTCACGCGAGCGCACGTTGCCACCCCACCCTCAGGGAGAGAGAGCAGCTGCTAATGTTGTGAGACCGAGTGCTAACAACAGTAAGGCTGAGTTATGAACTGTAAATGTGTTTTAATTGTCTAATTTAACTGTTTCTGCCCTCTGTGTCTGAATATGAGGGGAGAGAGAACAGCTGTGTTTAAGTTTCTTTTCCGGATGGGAGCGCCATGTTTTTAGTTTCACTTTGAAGCCACACTGTAATTAGCGTGTCTGCACTGTTTTTATTTAAAAAAATACTGGAGCTGCTCACAGGAAGCATAGCAGAACACCTCTATTGTTCTCCCTGATGGATTAAAATAAAAAAGCTTTCAGTGTTTTCTCGCTGTTACGTTTATAAGAGCGAGCGCAGCCGTCCACCATCATGCTTGAACCAGGCAGACTCCGCTCAGATGACGTTTGTTCTGACCGCAGTATAAAAGTCATGATGCAGGTTTTCTTCGGTGTACATTTCAAACTGTGATCTAAAGTTAGCATCAGCTGGTTTAAATGTATTTTTTTGTCTGGTGTAAAAAACGAGTGCAGACTGAGGCAGAGATGCTGTGAGTGCTGTGTGTGTGTGTGAAGTCCTCACAAAGATAGCAAGATGTATGTGGTGTCTCTTCTTTTTGCTATTTTAGCATCAAAAATGCTGGGATATTAAAACATAGTCATTTTATTTTACTTAAAAAATATATTAATCTGATTAATATACAAATAAAAACAGAATATTTAGCACTAGATAAAATAAATCATGAATTTATTTACTTTTAAATTTTTTTAAGAAAGTGCTGAAAGAAGAAATCCTGTGCGGCAGCACTTCATACAGCCTGCACCAGACAAGGCTCATTTAATAAATGTTTTTTTGTTGTTGTTTTGTTTTAAATTAAGACTTGTGTAACATTTGTTATCATTCTTATTTTTATCATGTTAATGTGGGAAGAAAAGGCAGTATCGGCTTCAAGAATCGGCCAAAAATAATTGGCTGCACGTATCGGCGTATCGGTTAGACTGATGTCAAAAAAATTGGTATCGGCCTTCAAAAACCTGTATCGGTCGATCTCTAGTACTTATCACTGCTCAGAGTTTCTTCCCCGCTGGAGTCTACACTCAAGGGGGAAAAAAACTGATATCCACCATTACTTTGTCCACGAATCTGACCGGTTAAAGCTCCCAAAGTTCTCATGGGGGGTTGTGACAAGAACAGGTGGAAGACTCAAAGCTGTGAACAAAGTGATGTAATTTTTGTCACATAACTGCGACAATACGAGACTATTTCTGCAGTTCAGAATACTGAGAGAGCATACTGGACTCTTACGAAATGGGGACTTTGAAGAAAATAGGTTGGGAACCACTGCATTAGAACATTATTTCATGGGTAGCATTGCATATTTGTGTGTGTTGCATTTCATGTTTTTGTGTGCATGAGTAATTTTAATACAAAGGTTATTTATGTTTGTTGATACATCTGCTTAGGTTTGTAGGTAAGCGTGCTCCATGCTTCTGCTGTCAGTGTTGCTGTGTTTCTTCACTCCACCRTCTGGCACTTTTAGTGAAGTCAATCTGCAACTGATCTGCACTCTCCTCTGAGTTTGCACCGGGAAAAGTATGTGATCTTTGTGCAGTAAGGCTGGTAGTAATCAGCTGTGCATCTGCTTCGCTCGGTCCCGTGTGTATGGTCCGGTTATCTGAGCTGTGTAATAGAGAGGCCAACAATRTTATAGACTCCCCTGATGGTCATTGAAAGAGACTGTTGTTCATTCCATCAAGTCTACTTGAGTTAATGTTTTCACTGCTTTTATTTTAAATTGTTTATGTTCACTTTCACTTCGTCTGGTGCCGGGTCATGTGTCAAAGAATAAAGTTTTTAAAAAGTGTTGCTTTGTGCAGCTATGTGCTGCTTTGATTGTAAAACAGTATTGCTCTTTTTATACCAAATCAATTATCTGATGGATTATTAAGGGTGAAAAAGGTGTTTGCCCATGGTTTATGTGTTTATTTCTTTGTACCTTTAGCAAAACATTTCATGAATCACTGAACAGATTTTAAAGAAACCATCGACGTAATGATTGAGTTGACGTCTACAGCTGATTTACCTTTGGAGTCAGTTCAATTCAAGATGGCCGCCACAGTAATGCAATTTTAGCAAACACAAAAATGGCCACAATTCAGTCAATTCGACATATTGAGTTTAAATTTGGTGTGGTAGTAGCTGAGACTGATCAGATTCAAGCTAGGTTTGTAATTGACTCGTGGAACATGTCGTGAGGTGCACTGTTCTTAATTCAAATAATGTGTTTGTCTTTTATGAGAAATACTACACCAAAGTAAGTGTCAAGTATAAACGCTTACACTGCTTTAGTCTTCAGTTTAAAATGTTTCTTATTGCATCATTTCACTAAGGAATTATTTGTTTCAGCTTGATGATTGTTCATTTTTACAAAGTAAATTTATATTATTAGTAAATGAAGATCAGTAAACCTTCATTGTAAATTAATTTTAATTAATTTTTTTACATTTTTTGTTTGAAGTGTAAATGTTTTGTGCCTCATCTTTCACCTAATTCAATCTGAAGCAGCTGATTGTAATTATTAATTAAAGAAAAACGTTTGCTTTAAATTTTTGCCATTAAACATGTCATCACTGCGATTGTTACACTGACAACAGAGAATTTAAATGACTGCAAAATATATGACGGTAATTAAAATGTTTTTTTCTTTTGGATATTCAATCTGTTTAATTTGTTAATACGTAAACTTTGTTTGTAATTCAACTAATGCAGAAGTTTTTGTGTAATTTCTGCTCGGCAACACTTCTTTTTCTCCAAACTCTACAACTGGCAGGATGGTATTTATGTTTCCTTTTCTGGTTTTGTCCCTGTTTTTTTTTGGTGTTATTGTATTAGATCAGACCGCAGATGTTATTGAAGGGTCCATTAGATGTTTGTTTTGGCTTTCCAGAGGTCTTTCTGCTGTGGAGCTGTGCCCAGCAGACCGAGCCGACGTTTCTCTTTTCTTATCGTGCTCAGCTTCTCGTTTCTTTAGCAGGTTGAGGTTTGGGAAATGAAATACTCTTATGTAGACTCTTGGACATGCTTTTTGTTTGAAGGAAAGCACATGTGATTGCTTCTTCGGGAATTGAAGATCGATGTGTAGTGAGTCACTGACAGCTTTTTATTTGAACGAGAGGAGAGGGCTGAATGTCTCGGTAGAGGGTAACGGTCACAGTTTCCGAGCCTCAGGTGCAGCGGAGAGGCATAATAATTGAGTTTATACAGAATGAAATTCACCGGTTAAATCCTGCTTTGTGAGCCTAAAACTTTTTTCTGAGTCAATTTTGTTTTCATTATTCCAGGGAAAATGTTCAGAGTTACAGTTAATAAAACTTCTCTCCAGTTTTTGCAGTGACTGGTCAGGTTTTCAGAGCTGTGATTAAGATTAGATTCTGTTAATTTCATACCTTCCTGCCCAGCAGAACCATTCGTCCAGAGCATGTGGTGAGATCGGTRTACAAGGCAACCGGATGTACCGACAACCCCAACAACCATGTCATCTACTTGGAGCACGTGGTCGTACGCATTATGATTACGCACCCTCGCCGTGGTGACCTGTCAATCAATCTGACCTCACCGTCTGGGACCAAGTCTCAGCTGCTTGCAAACAGGTACAGAACTGAATGATGTGAATGTTTATTTTTCTTTTTATCTTAAACATGTTATTTTTTTATGACTCTATATGAACAAAGTCAAACTTTTGAGTGCATCAACCAAGTGTGGATACCCTTGAACATACCTGAAGAAACAAAATTTCTCTTCACCTTCTCCCTATGGCTGTTCACACCAGCCATGCTGTTGCCCCTCTGCTCACCCAGAGGAGAGGAGGGCTCTTTCACCAGATGCAGTTGTTAATAAACTGGTGTTTTTAAGCTCTGAGAGACATTTACACTGATTACTGCCGGTTGGAAGACAAGAGAAAACCAGTGTGTTCCACCACTCTGTTATTAAAACTGTGCAGCAGAAGCAACGTTAAAAACACCCAGCGGGGATGTTTTTGTTTTGTTCTTTTCATGACATACATCAAAGTCTAAATCTGCTGGTCTTACCTACCACCACTCATTCAGGCTTTCATTTTAGAAACTGTAATGTAAACAATTAAAAATTCAAGAAGATCTATAGCTTGTTGTTAATGATTTTCTCTCAAGTAGCTCAACTTTTACCTTCAGTTTTATTACAGATTTCAAATAATAAAAATTAATGTATTAAGCAGCTGGTTTGATCCTTGCTAATAAATTTGCACCTTTCAGTCAAACAGATTCTTGATAAATATCACAAAGTAAACCTAGCTTCTGTTCAGATATAATTTTGTGTGTTTTTTGTACACGTGTGTGTATTTTGGATGTACAGGTTGTTTGATTACTCCATGGAGGGCTTTAAGAACTGGGAGTTTATGACCACCCACTGCTGGGGAGAGAAGGCAGCAGGCGACTGGGTCCTAGAAATCTATGACTCACCTTCTCAGCTTCGCAGCCAGAAAGTGCCTGGTAACTATGCATGGTTATTAAATTGAAAAGTTTAAATAACACAACATTTTTACTGAGGGGCAGATCTAAAAGGAGCCAACATTTTGCTGTGGAGGCAGTGAAATTAACATGAAATATCTCTCCGATGAAGCAACACTAAACATTTTACCTCTTGTAATTGTGCACCCAGTAGCTGGGAATAATCTCTGCGTTTTTGATCTTGGTATGAAAGCCAGATTGGAGTTATGTCTAAATAAATCTCTGCCCATCTTGATAAGCCGTGCGTTTTTTCACAGGAAAGTTGAAGGAGTGGTCGCTGGTGCTGTATGGTACCTCTGTCCACCCGTACTCATCTATGCACGTTGAAAAGGTTCGCTTCACTGACCTGCTGCAGCCGGTCGAGGAAGAGTTCACCGAGGAGTACAACGGTAAATGATAAGAAAGTAGATCCCCCAAACTTTCACAGAAACACGATAGAAAGTAACAGGATTATTTAACGGGTTATGTTACTGCAGCAGATGGAATTATTATTATTTATGGATTTATCTTTGTGTTTGTCTTCAGGCCCCTGTGATGCTGAATGCAATGAAAATGGCTGCGAGGGTCCAGGACCCCACCACTGCATAAACTGCCTCCACTACTTCCTCAAGTTCAAGAATAACACCAGGTCAGACTGCTTAGAGCCACACAGTCAGTCATCTTATTTCATAGGTTGTTTTACAAACATATTTTAAATAGTTTGTTAATAGAAATGTTTCTAATCCGTCTTTGTGTTTATGTTTTTGAATCATCTCCTTTTGTGTTTACCTCCTTTCGAATATAACCTTCCTGTGTTCATTTACACAGTTCTACATCTTGACTTCTATTTGTTGAGCTGAAACTGAATGCACACATGGATCATTTTCACCATGACAATCTGACATTAGATCTGTTTTCCTTCTCAATCTTTATTCCTCGGATAAGGTCCGATTTTATCGCCACGGGTCTGAGTGCACATTATCTGTACATCTCTGGGCCCCTAAGATCTCATTAGGATCAAACTCTGTGATAATTGCCTTTGTGTTGGCTTCTCTCAGTGCTAATAAAAGGCAGAGTGATGCAGGCGCACGACAACATGCAAGCTTAGCTGCAGCTTAACACCGGGCCACTTTAGAGGTGTGCTGCCCTTTTCTGCCGCCACAGGGACCGGCTGATGAATGATGGTTTGAGGTGGGGTGATGGGAGGAAGGAGGCGGGATGGCAGAGGTGCGTCATGTTTAGATAATTACAGCTCTGGTGTACGTGTTTGATGTCTACATTCATCAAAAGCTGTTGGGTCTTTTGAATCTTTATTTTTTATCTTGTAGTTGTCTTCATGTCTGTGATTACCTAGAGGACTTTTACACCTTTCAGTAGCTGAGCATGTTTAGAAGAAACTGTAAATTCAATCAATTCAGTGTTTAATAGGATTGTTTTGGTCAAATTACGTTATTATATTTGAACATTTTTACAGAGACTTTTGAATCTGTTCATTATTTTTTCCCTAATACGTATTTTGATTGTAAAATAAAGGAATATTTCTTTTTTTTTTTTGAAGTGGGGTTCTGTAGAAGGTTTTGAACAATTAATATCTTACCTGTTGCAGAAAGCTCCAGTCTCAAATAGTTCATAATAATTAATTCAAAATTCTTTACATCGCTGTCAGTTTGGAATCAAACGGTTTGTTGCAAAAAAWTTTTTTGGCTATTTGCAAATCCAAATAGTAGCAGCAGCTAGCTGTAGCACTTCTGGTGCAGCTTGAAATAGGGCTGCTTGATTATTAGAAAAATTATAATCGTGATTGTTTTGATTGAAATTAAGATCTAGATTATTTAACAAAATTATTCTTTCACTTTGATAACATGAATTAATTGAACATAAACAGTGACTGTTAAACATTGTTTCCCTCAGGACTTCAAATATTTATGAAAAAATAGACAAAGTGAAACTTTGGCTGTGTGAGGAGCCTGCAGCGTCAGGCTAGCAGTGGCACTTGATCGAAGTTTGCAGTTTACGCTTATGCTGTTTTGTGTTGTGAATCATTGCCCATCCCCAGCTTGAAACACTTAGAGTGGTTTGCAAAAGTATTCATACCCCTTGAACTTTTCCATATTTTGTCACATTACAACCACAAACATAAATATATTTCACTGGAATTTAATG